AGATGATATTATAGAAATGTCTCTAAGTTTTGGGGAAAAAATTTGGCTAGAAGGATTTACTTTTAACTATATATAGATATAGATTTTTATTGCCTACACTTCATCCGTCCCTCTCTAAACTTTTTCCACTTGATGAGCAACGAACTCTATTGCTTCTCGATCAATCTTTCTAGATCTGTATCTTCTCCACAAAAAATAAACAAAAAAAAAAAGAATATATCAACATTTTTATTACAAACCACTTTTCTTATTTAAATATCGAAAAATCCAAAACAAAACAAAACAAAACCCAAAAAGAAAAAAAAAAAAACTAAGATAATGAAAACCTCACCCTTGCAAATCACGTATCAGCCTCAACTATGGAAGATCACAGGATGATTAACAAAAGTCAATGAAATGATGGAGAAGATACGGGGTGGAGAAGCCTTACCGATGTAGAGAAGGAAATGATGGGAAGGCTAGGAATTATAAATTTGTATTTATAAGTAGAAAATACTAATTCAAAAGGAAATTATAATAATTTATTTATTTAAGGTATTATTATTATTATTATTATTATTATTATTATTATTATTATTATTATTATTATTATTATTATTACAGAAATGTCCCTAAGTTTTGGGGGGAAAACTTGCTAGGAGGATTTTACTTTTATATATATATATAGACTTTTCTTATTTAAATATCGAAAAATTCAAAACAAAACAAAACAAAACCCAAAAAGAAAAAAAAAAAACTAAGATAATGAAAACCTCACCCTTGCAAATCACGTATCAGCCTCAACTATGGAAGATCACAGGATGATTAACAAAAGTCAATGAAATGATGGAGAAGATACGGGGTGGAGAAGCCTTACCGATGTAGAGAAGGAAATGATGGGAAGGCTAGGAATTATAAATTTGTATTTATAAGTAGAAAATACTAATTCAAAAGGAAAGTATAATAATTTATTTATTTAAGGTATTATTATTATTATTATTATTATTATTATTATTACAGAAATGTCCCTAAGTTTTGGGGGGAAAACTTGCTAGGAAGATTTTACTTTTATATATATATATAGATATATAGATATATAGATTTATGAATCTTAAATTGTTTCTAATTATATTTATGTGGCAATACTTCATATAAGAAATTTTTTTTAGGCAACTGACTATTGCCATTACTGTACATTTATTCCATAATTCATTTAGTCTTTGAATTATGATTATTGTTATTGTCCATATTTAGTTATGTATGATTCATTCTCTTTGGACTATTGTTTTTTGCATTTAATCATATTAAGTGCATAATATTAAGTTTAATTATGCAATTAGGGTTTGTGAGATTTTGGTTTACAAATGACAACATATCCTTTTGGCTTGATATTGTTATAATTTGTGAATTCAATCTATTTCTCATAAATTTGATTTTATGCATTAAAACATCTTGTCATGGGCTTACAGTTTGAAAATTTCAAAGTATATATTTATTGCATTATTATTCAAAATGTTGGGTCCCTTTTGGTTTAATTTGGACTCATTAGTGTTTGAATATTAAGTTTATACTTTGAAATCTCATATTGTAAATTGCTTTAAGTTATGCAATTTGTTTGAAATATATGAATTTAATGTTTAATTTTATGCGTGTTTGTCCTAAGCATAATATTTTGTTTTAAATTATGCAATATTCTTATTATGCCTCTAGAAATGCATAAATTTAGGAAGAGATTATATTAGTTCCTAATTAAGTTGGACTTATGCATAAACTTTAGTTACGGTAGTGCTTGAATTTAAGAACGTTTAGTCCGTTAATTTAGTTCATCAATTTAATGCCTTATCCATATGTGAATCTACAATCTTTAGATCTTTCAAACGATTTTACTTCAAACATGAGAACGCATGACTTAGGGAAGTTTCTTGGGGAGGAATACTAGTTCTATGGCCCTGGCTTAAAAGCCTTGTTGCTATTAGTCCCCTTACGACGCTACTCTGTCTAAGGAGTTGGTATTTAACCAAGCTTCGTCTCGACCAGCTTTCCTGGGAGTATACCTAATAATTGTCTATCATGTGTTGGTTTAATTTGTTTGTTAGACTTTAAATTCCCCTTTTGCCAAGTGATTACAATTTTAGATTAATTAAAGAGTAGCCACAACATCTTTAATTTACTAAAATTGTCTAAGGTTTAAATTACATAAAGATGGCAATGATAATTGTCTAGTGATCTTATAGTTTTAATGAGTTTGGGAGTAGCCACATCATCCTTAATCAATTAAAATTATATATTGAGCAGTTTATCTTGATCACATACAGTTTTGGACATATCATTTGTGATTAATTGTATGTAATATGATGGAATTTAGCCCACAGGCAATTTCGTCATATTTGTATAGTTAATCAGGATGAAATACTGGATTACGATCATAATTTAGTCCACCGGCAATTATGTATTGGACTGTAGTTTAATAGTTTTATCACTGATGATAGAAATAAATCAATTTTATTTACTTTATGGTTATTTGTAAATAATTCTCATCTCTATCATGAAGTTTAATTTTATGATGTAAATTTTAAATCATATTTCTTAATTTACCCACAGGGATTAAAGAAAGGAACATGATTCCTTAAGTATTTATCATAACAGTTGTAATGAATCTTATTGAGTAAAACTTTAGCCTACAGGCAAGTTTTATGTCACTTGATTCTTCAACTTATTTGATAAATGTTTCATCATAAAATTTCAGTTGGATCTAATTGATTAAAACTTTAGCCCACAAGCAAGTTTTATGTCACTAGATACTTTTGTCCATTTAACAACTGAGATAAAATATTATCATAAGGGTTTTAATTGGATTTAATAGAATTAAAACTTTAGCCCACAGGCAAGTTTTATGTCAATAAATCTCTCAACGCATTAGATAATAATTTTATCACAATTTCTTAGAATTTATAAATTTAGTTCAATTATAATTCTAAGTTTCATGGTTTGCATTGGCAAAACATGTATTCAATCACTTCCCAAAATTTAGCCACTTTTATTAATTATTGATCCACGATTGTTGGTCGGTTCTTCGGACTAACTGTAGTAAGTTACGTGATTTGACATACCTCTTTTGAATTCCAATAATAATAAAATGTATCTTTCAAGTCAAATTCCAAAAAATGGTTTTAGAAAGTGTATTTTATTACTTCAGTATGTCTAACTATGGTGGGGAATTAATATCTTCATTATTTAGTTGGACTTTAATTGGAACAAAAAATTGATTATTTAGTATGCCCAACTAATGGTAGGAAATTATATCTTCATTAATTAGTTTGTCAAATCAATTATGAGTATGTATATCATTAATTTCGCTGAAAAATATCTTAATCAGTGGGAGTGGTCATTTAGAAAATGATCATTAAGATACTCCACTAAAGATTTTTGATTTAATTGGCTTCAAAAGATTCCATAAGTATTAATATTGTATTTGTTCATATCAATTCATATTGGTTGTGCAACATATTTATGAAAATGTGTAACAATATTAAGGAGTTTATTAAAACAAAACATTTAACTTGTGGTGCACTGTTATTTAATAAATTCTTTAGCATTCAATAGAGTCTTTAGTTTCTTCAAAATTGATCCTGGGCCATTTTGATTTGTAAGGCTCAAGACAATTTTGAGAAACATAAAAGTAAGATTCATAATGTTCAGTTCATTTTGAAGTGGACCTTAAGATTATTTGGAAAGTTATGGTGTATGTTTAAGATTCCAAAATTATGGACTTAGACCTTTGGTTTATTGTCTAAGTTGTTGGAATGCTTCTATGACTAAACTATCTTTTGGCTATTTGGATGAGTGGGAGTGACAGACGTGTCAACTTCAAGCTCTTAGTCGATAGAGCCATAGAGGTAGTGCTTATGTTACTTATAAAGAAGTCATGGAATATATAGTTAGCATTATGCTAACATTAAGAGATCTCTACTTAAGGCATGCTTTTAAGGATATTAATTAGAGATCATACAGTGTAATCTTTTGTACAATTTGGATGGTTTTCTCTCTTAAGTTGCGCATATATATTTTATTTTGAGAAACATCCCTTAAGGTACCAAGAATAAACATTGGGTTTGTTCATAAAGGATTCAAGTTGGGGAATAAAAAATGCATGTGATCATAGGAGATATTACTCACTTATTCAGTAGAGGACATATTACTATGGTTCGTGTGTTTTGTTCTTTGATGAGAGTTTGCTAGTACTTGCACCAAGTGGGAGACTGTAAGACTTTCCCGAATAATATATATTATGGGTCTTACTTATGTGGTGCAAGTGGACTAGGCCCATTAAGTAATTGGTTGGACTGGACATTTAGGTTTAAGTCTTATTCCACCAATGTGCAATCGTTATACCCTGCATCACGGCGCGCGTAGCACTGTGCGTCCCGCGCCTCCCAAAACGACGTCGGTTTAGTAAGTTATGTAGAGAGTTGACGCGATTATGTGTATTTGTTTATAAATTATGTGTATTTGTTTATACAAGTATGTGTATTTGTTTATATAATTATGTACATTTTTTATACAATCATGTACATCTTTTTTTATACAATTATGTACATCCAAAACAGGAAATTTATGTGTATTATGTTATAATAGTTGATGTTTATTATGTTAAAAGTTTATGTATATTATGTATTATGTTAGATTATATGTATTATCTTTTAAAAAAAAGTATGTGTATTTTGTTATACAATTATGTACATTCATGTATACAATTATGTGTATTCTAGTATAAAATTATGTACATTTTTGAACCTGAGATTTTTTTTAAAAGAAAATTAACCGCCAACACAGGGTAGCGAATTTTTTTTTTTTAAAAAAATCTGAAACGACGTCGTTTTGCATCAGGGCGCACAATGCAATGCGCGCCCTGGTGCAGGATATAAATTGCCACCAATGTGCCTATATAAAGCTTGTATTGATGGGATACAAGATACATGATTCATTATATGGTACTCATACTGCTTAGAAAATACCAATACACCATCTAGGATTCTGAGTCAAGTATGAAACAAAACGGCTAATCCTATTCTGCAGATCTACTGTTCAAGATGCAATACAACAGGATATCAACCATGACTGGAGATCTACAGTGCTTCCGCTTCCGCTACTACGAGTTAAGTTTCTCGTAGATTATTCTCTATATAGTTAGATCATATTTAGATCTCACAAATCAACCATGCCAGATGCCACGTCTCACATTGAGTTGGCTAAAGTTGATGAGGCAGTTGAGAGGACACTTATGGATCGGTTGTCTGTTTAAGTGGATTTGGTCATCCTTATCAGTAACAGTATACAAAATGCAAATATTGCAATATATAGTGAACTATGTCTCCTTTTTCTTTTTCTTTTTTTTTTTCTTTTTTTTTCTTTTTTTTTTTTTTAAATAAAAATAAAAATTAAGTACTTATGTTAAACTGTTTGTATTATGTCTGATTTAAAATGATACTCCGTATATTTTAATTTGTATTGTAATAAGTATTTGATAGTATTTTTTTTGAACAAAAACGAAAGTGACTTCATTAATAATTTAGAAAATCGGAAATACACGTAGGTGGGATAACAGCCCACTCTCCTGAGACAGCCAAAGAACAAGTTGCACGTGCTAACTCGTGAGCCACTCGGTTTGCTGATCTCTTAACATGGCGGACACAGATGTCCCCAATGTCATTAGCAATAGATAAACATTGCTTCACAATTAAGCCTACATACGAATAATCAAACACGCAAGAATTAAAAGCGTTACAAAAATTCAAGCAGTCAGTTTCAATAATGACATTGTTATATTGCAATCCTTTCAACCAAGTCAAAGCCTCCTTCACTACGACCGCCTCCGCCGTGAACGGATCATGAGCGCCCTCAATATGACCCCCCCCCTTTGCTGACACGAAGCGACCGGTATGATCTCGGATGACAGCGCCATACCCAGCTCCACCGGAGAAGATTGCGGCATCGACGTTGCATTTCAGACTGCCACTCGGAGGTGGATTCCAGTGAACAGCATCATTGATAGACCCATCTCGTCCAGGCTGGCTAAAACAGTCCTGCCAAATAGATCGTAGTTTGTTTACCTAGTCTCGCATAGCAATTAAGGCCGGCGCCGTGTTTCGCCAAACAATCGCGTTTCTTGTCGACCAAATCGCCTCCATAATAGCTGCCATCGTTATGGCTGTCCCCATGTCTGCGTCATTTAGAACGGAATTCATAGCCATCGGTAGAGATCGCCCCTGGAGAAAATCAACATGTCCCCAAAGGTCCGAAGCGTACCAGAACTCGCCGAAGATGTGTTCTGGAGTCTCGGTCGAGAAACCGCAAAATGGGCAGCCCCCACCTATCCAAACATGTTTCGTTTTCAGGTTCTCACGAACTGGAAGCACACCCCGAACACAACGCCATAACAAATTTTTCACCTTTGGTGGAATTGGCAGTGACCAAAGTTTTTTCCATGCATTAAAACAATCAACCGCATCGATTCGCCATTGAGTGCCCATAATCAAGCGATAGCCGTGCCGTACCGTATATCTTCCCCTTAAATCTCCAGTCCAGCGCCATGAATCTTTAAATTGGCAGCTTACAGGTGTTGCAAGGATCCTTTGAATGTCCTCCTCAAAAAAAAATATCTTTCACAATATCTAAGTCCCAGTTCCCCTCGGCATTTAGTAAACCGCTCACAGTGGCGTTCCGTAATTCGTCGATGCAAGGTGTATGTAGCCGGGGATCAGAGTTGTCCGATAGCCAGCCCCAATCCCAAATCCTCGTATCCGCCCCGTCCCCGATACAACGAGCCACTCCCATCTTTAGAACTTCTTGTCCTGCCGTGATGCTCCGCCATAAAAAACTTGGATTGTTTCCTACACGCGCTTCCAAAAAATCGGTACCTGGAAAACACTTCGCTTTTAAGAGCCGGCTAACCAAAGACTCAGGATGAATTAGAAGCCGCCAACCTTGTTTTGCAAGCAAGGCTATATTGAACTCATGTAATTTTTTAAAACCCAAGCTGCCATTTACTTTTGGAGCACAAAGACGGGACCAGTTCAACCAATGAATCCCTCTATTTCCTGTCCCCCGCCTCCCCACCAATAGCGGTTGAGGCACTTCTCAATAGAGTCACATGTCCGCCTTGATAATAGGAAGGTGGACATAGTGAAAATAGGTAGGGATTGAGCTATGCTTTTAATAAGGACCTCTTTACCTGCCCGTGAGAGGAGTTTGTGTTGCCACATCCCAATGCGCCCACGTAGCTTATCCTCAATGTATTTGAAAGTGGATATTTTGTTTCGCCCTAACACCGAAGGAAGACCCAAGTACCTGCCCAAGTCCTCAGCGACCTGAACGCCAATACAACCCGAGATGTGTTCACGCATAGCCGGGGGAGTATTAAGGCTAAACACAGCATTTGATTTATCGAAATTGATTAATTGTCCCGATGTCGCACTGTACAGGTCCAGGCATTCTTTGATTTTTAGAGTTTCGCTCTGTATTGCCCTGAAAAATAGTAAACTATCGTCAGCAAAAAAAAGGCGGGTGACTGCCGGGGCCCCCCGGGCCACCCGTACTCCATGAATGTCACCCCGAGCTTCTGCCTGTTGTAGCAGAATGGATAAGCCTTCGGCACAAAGAATGAAAAGGTACGGGGATAACAGGTCCCCCTGCCGTATACCCCTTGTAGGACACACCACGCCAACGGCCTCACCGTTAACTTGAATTGTGTAGTTAACGGTTGAGACACATAGCATAGGGAGTTGTACCCACTCTCGCCCGTAGCCTAGCGCACCCAACATCCCCTCCAAAAAACCCCACTCCATCCTGTCATAGGCCTTCGCCATGTCAAGTTTTGAGGTCGTCCACCCCAAATTCCCACACGTCTTTCTCCTTAAGTAGTGTCCAATTTCCCCTGCTATGATAATATTGTCTGTTAAGAGCCTTTCCGGGACAAAGGCACTTTGGAATTGTGAAACAACCTTTTCCAAAGTCCCTTTGAGCCTATTAGCCAATAGCTTGGCCAGCACTTTGTACACAACGTTACAAAGGCCTATCGGGCGCAAATCAGATACCTTCTCAGGGACCTTTTTCTTGGGAAGTAATACAATGTTTGATGTATTGAAACCCGGTGGAAAGGCCCTGTTTGCCACGCAACTTAAAATAAACACCGACAGATCATGTCCTTGGACCGGCCAAAAGTGTTGGTAAAAAGCCGGGGACATTCCATCTAGGCCCGGTGCCTTGTCCGGAGCCATAGAAAATAAAGCCGTTTTCACCTCTACCATCGTGAATGGTTGTGAAAGCGAGATATTCATCTCGTCCGTTACCCGTTTCCATAGTTATCAATAGTTATTTGTTGGGTGGAGTCCTAGGGACAAATCTAGTAATTAGTAGAGTATATAAGGAAATAATGGTGCTCATTCGCTGTGAGCTATACCTTTTGACATAATGGTAAGTGTTTGATCCTAACAAGTGGTATCAGAACTAACTTGCAAGCTAAGTGTTGAGATGAAGAATTGTTTGGCGGAGGCCGGTGAAGTAGGTTGAGGATGACTCTATGACTTAGAGCAAGTGTGTTGGGATCCTTACCAATTAACCCATCAATTTTATATTATTAAATACTCATAAATTAACTAATTTTATTATATAGTCGTCAGATAAATCATATCGATTGTGCATCTAAATTCAATAGTTAGTTATTCATCAATAATTAAAGTTCAGACAGTTGAAACTAACAACCGTTTGATTGTTTGATAAGAAGGGTAAATAAATATGTTTAATTATAACTTTTTAAAATCTAAATATGGTTTAACCCTTTTCCCAATACATAATTTGAATGGCAAACTTGAATGAGAAGTCATTAATTTATAATTGGAAATAGCAAGCTTTATGACGCTGTTGTCGTTCTTAGGTTGGGATAAGTCCCAACATATTCTTTAAGGAGGCATGAATGATTGCTATCACATTGTAATCATTGAGGATCTTATTCCTTACAACTTTAAGGAATTCTATGTTTTCTCAACTTGGAAATCCAAAGCTATGTATATATCGTAACATTTGTATTATCCTGCAAATTTTAATTTTATGATGCCTTAGAACAGTGTTAGTGGTATACTTTATATTTAATAAAATTATTATAACTTCATTAAATATACAATTCTATTTATAATATAATGTGTAACCTATAAAAATATTTAATAAGTTGGACTTCTAACTTATTAATTTTAGAGTCTTAGACCGACGGACTACCTAAAATTGAAGCCACATACAAGCTTAGTCACCACTTTTTATATCGATCATCTTAAAAAAAATGCTAATGAATGCAAGGATCACAACATTGCAATCATTATTGTGTGGGATGTGGTCCACATCGTCACGATCCAAAAATTATATAAAATACATTATTCTAACTCATAAAATACATTATATATTCTAACACAAAGTACATTATTATTATAACTTATAAAATACATTATCTTACCCTAAAATTTTCATTATTCTAACAGAAAATACATTATACATTATTCTAACTCAAAAAATACATTATTCTAACAAATAAAGCACATTGGTCTAACTCATAAAATGCACCACCTTAACCCATACATTTCATTTTCTAACACATAAATTACATTATTCTAACACAAAGTATATTATTCTAACTCATAAAATACATTATCTTACTCCAAATAGTTCATTATTCTAACACACGCGTGAAGTAATTTTTTTTTTCTTTTTTAACATCAAAATAACATCGTTTTAGACCGTGATCCACAAACTAATTTGCCGCAACATTGGTAAGCCTTACAAATCTGACTATATCAGCTTTTTCCCCTTTTTTATTATTAATAATCAATTATATGTTAGTATTATATTATATTTTGAAAGTAAATTGAAATTGCATAAATATATAAAAATAGTGATAAATCGCAAATGTAATTAGTAGGATTCACTTTTGAAAATATAAGAGTATTGCAGGAGCGTGAATAGCCTTATATATGACTAGCTTTTGTTTTATTGAGTAACTAGTATTTACACTCGTGCGATGCACGGAATGTATTTATTATAATATATTAATAATAATTAGATCGATTTTAGTGTAAATTATAACGTTGAATATTATATATTGCAATTTATGATTTTAGTTTAATTGATTATGTTTTATGATGTTAATATTGCTTTAATTTGAGTAAATGATTACCATAATAATAGGCAATATGTAGATATACGTATCTAGTGCTGAAACTTTAGACATTTTTCTATCAATTAATTAATGTTTCGGATTTGAATTAATTGGTCTCATTATCTTGTTGTGTATTAATTTAGCTGTAGAAATTATATGAACGGAATATATATGTAATATGTAGATATCTAACAATTTTGTCATATTTGTGAAAGAAGAATACATAATATAACTGTTTAGAATTACACATTGTTGAAAACCTCTTTGTAGACGGCATTAGTAGTAGTAACAGAACTTTGTCCATCCTCGTCTAGAGTTAAAACCTTAAGGCCATCAGGATGAGTGACTCGGGAAAAAGCCACGTACAATTGACCGTGATTAAAGACTGGTTTTATCAATAATAAGTCAACTTGAGTTAGTGTTTGACCCTGACTTTTGTTGATAGTCATGACATATGCTAGCATCAATGGGAATTGTATGTTTACGTTGGAACTTGAACGACAATCTCGTATCAGAAGGGGTGAGAGACATTCGTGGTATAAGAAATTTGGTTCCTTGTTGCGTTCCATTAACTATTCTTGCTTCGACAATATGATCCGTCAATCTTGTGACGATGAGGTGCGTACCGTTGCACAGACCAAGAGAGTGGTCTATGTTCCGTAGTAACATAATAGGTGCACCAACTTTTATTGTCAATGAATGATTAGGAAGTCCAGACAATCTCAAGCTATTTTAAAAATTCAAGAGTGTGTACTTGTGATAGATTGTCACCATCTGATTCTGCTTTACACAAAGAGTCACAACTTAAATATGTCCGACCTTCTGCAGTGTTCATATCACACATATATTGATTAATTTGATCAACAACATCTAAAGTCGGTGAGAGAATTGCTCGTCCTTCTAGGTGAGACTCTTCAAGCATTCCATAATTCGTGGTTGGAAATATGCTTTCAACTATAGTTGCGATTGGATCAGGTCCACACTTCAACATAAACCTTGGCGAGATATCCATCTCAAACACACCATTGTTTACAAACCCTGTAATCTCATCTCCGATGTCTGCAATCCATTTTGAGAACCAATCAGTCGTCTATCTATCTTCATTTGTAGCTAAGCTCTGTAGTCTCAGGTTCTTGTTAGCCTCAATACCTTACAATTCCTCCAGAGGTATGAAGAATTAATAGTGGCTCACACAATCATTGGTCTCGTTGCTTTAGGAATAACTGGAAGAATTTGTCTAAAATCACTGCCTAATACTACTGTATTTCCACCAAATGTTTTCTCATCACTACCAGGTATGGTGAATCTCAATAGACCTCTCATGGTTTTGTCTAAAGCTTCAAAACAGTATTTTCACTCATGCGATGCACGGAATGGATTTGTTATAATATTTTAAGAATATTTGGATGAATATATTATTATATAAATTATAACATCGAATATTATATAATGCAATTGAAGAATTGAGTTGGATCGATTGTATTTTTTTTATGTTATCATTGCTTGAATTCGACCAAATAATTGCTCAATTAACAGTCAATGTGTAGATGTAATTAGGATTTGTATTAATTGGGCAAATTTGATCGTTGTCTAGCAACTCAATTATAGAAATCATTTGCTATCATAATTTATTTGTATGAAATATATATTTTCTATGTAGATATATACCAATTTTGTCATCTTTGCATAAAAAGAAAACATAAGATCACTTATTTGAATTGCACATTATTGAAAATCTCTTTGTAGACGACATTGGTAGTACCAACAGAATCTTGTCTATCCTCGTCTAGAGCTAACACTTTCAGGCCATCAGGATGGGTGACTCAGGAAAAAACACATACAATTGACCGTGTTTAAAAATCAGTTTTTTAGCAATAACCCAACGTGAGTTAGTGTTGGCCCTGAATTTTATTGATAGTCATGGCATATGCGAGCATCAACGGGAATTGTTTACGCTGGAACTTGAAGGGCAATCTTGTATCAGAAGGAATGAGAGACATTTCAGGGGATATGAACTTTGGTCCCTTCATGTGTCCCATTAACTATTCATGCTACGACATGTGATCTGACAATCTTGTGACGATGAGGCACGTACCATTGCAAAGATGTTATTCCACGTGAAGCAACGTTGAGAACCATATCATCACGGCTCCTTATCTTTGACGATAAATTTCTCCACACGAACGTCTTCCCTGTTCGTCCATAACCAAACACGAAGAATAATCCACCTCCATTAGAATCGATAGTATTCATCACAGAGTCGTAGACATTCTTTTGCTCGTCCGTCAATTGTGTTACCAACATTTCATGCTCTGTCTTCAACGATTCCTTGTCATACGCCAACTCTTCGGCTATCAACATGTTTTCCATCAAACCCATGGTGCTTTCGTCTAGAATTGGCATTTAGGGAAAGTCCCTCAGACCCCCCCCCCCCCCCACGCACACACACACAAAGATAGCAACTTCTCCAACTCCATCTGAGCGAACTACTTCTTATCCGAATCTGATAACACCAACTCTTCATATGTAACACCCCTAAATTTCAAGATATTTAAAACCTATAAAATAAAGGCATTAATCTCTTATTAATTCCAACCTTGTAGCTCCCCTCCGTCCTTATATCAGTTCCAACCTATACCTCTAGGCCACCCTTATATCCCCACCCCTTATGCCTCCGGGCAACTACGTTCCCCCACCGACGAACACACCTTTCAACCACCAACATATCAAGATGGTGCCGCAGTGCCATTCAATGATCCGCACCTCTAGTGCCAATATCAAGGGGTTAGCGCATATAGCTCTAACATGACACCACAGCACTTATAACCTGACCTATGCCTAAAGCAAGCAAGTCGAAGGTGGGTGTGTGCCTTTAGCATAGTCACCGCTATGGCCTGTACCTTTAGTACAATGACCGGGCACAAGTGGTGCCAACCGCCAACAATTTATTTTCCACCAATCACAATCTCATCATCATTAGTCACATTGGCCATTGCACAATGATCACGATACTCATCACCATTCAATCAATCAACACATAATAACATAATAATCAAGACACAACAACAACGACACGTATTACACATAAAATCCTAGAACGATGCTTAAAACACCAAACGAGACTCATACACGACAAACGGAGCACAACGGGATACGGGGAAAAAACAAACGGGGGAAAACATCACAACACCCACCAACTTTCCAGGGGGTGGGCGGCGGGTGGAGGACCACCCGCCGGCGGCGACTACAGTTCTAGCAGGTAGGTGGCGGGCACCCCTGCCCCCACCTACCCCCCACTGACTCGTATGTAATATTTCGGTCCCAGGATCTTTCGTGGAACCCGAAACCATGTCCATACACATTCAAACACAAAACGACAACACCACGTATTCAAGTAACGGAATTAAACCATGAATCACACCAAATAAACCCTAACATGATTCCTAAACATGCCAAGACTCAACATAAATCACATAACGATCCATGGACATCTGGAATCAGAAGAACATCAAGAAATCTATATGCAAAGTCCTGAACACAAGTCCTCGGCTAGACTCAACACCCGATCATGCAAAATTCCACCAAATATACCAAGAATATCATAATACGAAATCCACGTTATAACCCTAGGGCTCTAGATATAATCAAAATACAAGATCGTTCATATAATTAATCATAGTATTAAGAACATCAAGATTATCACATAAACACAATATAAACCCTAGGCAAAGCTCTATCAAAACTCAAGCACAGAATCATATGTCAAAGGAGCCAATGAATAAGATATAGCAAGTAAAATAGGTTTTGTTGAGACATGGGTTACCACTTAGCCTTAATTAATCCTCCCTTGGCTATTAAGGTTCTTCTCTAAGATTTCCATCCGATTGATCTCCCTAGGCTTGGTGGTGGGGAATCTCCTGTGAATAATTTCGTGTAATATAACTATGGGTGGTAAGAGTTCTAATTGCTTTCTAATCCCTATTTATAGAGTTAGGAATCCTAATTAGAATCTGAATAGTAAAGGCCTACTTCCTATTCCTAATAGGTATATAGGTCTAGGATTTCTAATTAGAATCTGACTAGTAAAAGGTTTTACTCTCTTTATTCCTAATAGGCTTAAGACTCTAGTTTAGGCTTAGCATGATACTATTTGTAAGCATGAGTTGCTTGTTGAGTTGTTGTGAAGTTTACATGTTGAAGTATCTAGGTTGTTAAGTCTTATGCTTGAAGCATGTTTGTTGATATTATAGGTTGCAAGTATCTAGAAAGTATATGATAGATCTAAGGATGTATATGAGATGAGTTTGTTGTATACAAGTGGAATCAAATGTTTTCAAAGTATATTCTATAGTACTTTACAGGGTTGAGTGTGGTTATACTTAGCTTCGTGCTAATGGGTGTTTTCATATTTGTCTATGTGTTGCTTGCAAAACCCCTTTCAGGTGGGCCCAGTGGTGAGAAGTGATCGAGTTAGATTAGTCTCGTAGTTTGAGATGTCTAAACTCTTATGCGTTGTTAAGGACTTTATTATCCAGATTTTAGACTTATGTCGTTTTGTAGACTTTGATGATGTAGACTTTTTGGGTGATCTTTTCCCCCCTTATGTTTTCAGTTATATTATGGATGTTAGATACTTATTTTATTTCTAGTTCTACCCTTAGCCTGTGCAATCACCACGGAGTGGTAGTTGTGGCGGTGACATTCTCACTAGTTATCTTCTAGCTATTTAATTCCGCTGCTTAGATTATGATAATTGTGGTTTAGATTTATGTTTAAGAGATGGAAAAGTGGGGTGTTACAATTATGATTCCTTATCCCAG